ATACTGTACATACAGTGATACAAAGAATTTTAAATATTAATATTCAATTGAAACCAGAACTTTTCTTGTTGGGACTAATGGATAGACGATTAGAAAACAGTTATGGAAGATTGTTTTTATATATGATAACTGCTGCAAGATTATTATATGCACAAAAATTATATATATATATATATATGTATAAAATATAATTTAAAAATATAAAAATAATCTCAGAGGGTCCATCTAATTCTGTATACCTTTCCTAAGAGTGGTTAAGTGCAGAGAAAATTTAAAGGAAGATGCAATATGTAAGTAAACATCTTTAAGTTCAACAAGGTTTAAAATCATTTTTAAAAGTGACATTAAAATATTGTACCATACATAATTATTCCTTTAAGTGCTAAGTTAAATTCTGAACAGCAGAATGTAAATGAGATATAGCCAGCTAATAAACAGAAGCTATGTGTTAAATATGTTGTCATATCACATCAATAATTGAAGATCCTAATTCATTCAGACCAAGTCTACAGGGACTAATGGGGAGGAGTGTTCTAGCTTTATGATTTGTACACATGTGCATTTACAACCTGATTGTTGCTTCCACAGTTTGGGGAAGTGATTCAGAAGAGGAAAGTATTAAATCAACCTTTTTTTTTCCTGCAATGCTGTTTGCCAAGGCCAAAATCCCATACAGAAAGGCAACACACCACTTTTGAAATCACACACAGTGGAAGCTACTAATTGGGAGCAAGAATCATGTGGTAGGAAACAGGTTACACATTCCTGCAGCCATCAAGGCTGCACTGTGTTTCTAAGTTATAGAATATGGTTGTCCCAGGCTTGCTGAGAGCAGAATCTCCACAGGTAATTTAAAAACCAAAAGCTCTTTGAAGATTAATTCCCAACTTTAAGAAACAGAAACTATTTAGTTTCAGATGAGTTCACAATTTGCTTTGGTGTATCTTTATGATGCAGAATAGGTGGATAATATCCCACACTTCCTGGTGAAAGGCAGGGCTGATCATCCCCCTCTCCCTCCATTAGTTTCAAAGATCATCCTGTAAAAGTAATGTTATACAGCTGCTGCAAGCACAAAATTGGAGCTGAATCTAATAAGTGATCCAAACTATAAGCAATCTAAACAATTAAACCCGAGAGAAGGAAAGATGATCCATAGGAAATAGGCTTGCAAAGGAAGGTGAAATAAATAACTGAAACAAGCAAGGGAATAGAACCTCAAACCCAAGATTCCTAGCCAAATTTCCCTTCTGATCCGAGGTATGATCATTGTTTGTCTCCTTGCCAGGAACAAGCACCTTGTGCTGGTCTTCCAAAATAAAGTGAAGGTTTTGGAGAAGGCTACACTCTACTTTCCAGCCCGAGTCTCCTGCCCCAGGTTGTTGGTTCTCATATATTTGATTCTGCTTCCAAATTAGGGTCTCTGTTTCTCTCTCTTAGGGGTCAGCTACAATGACACTTGCCAAGGATAAGCAGAACCACATCAACTCTTCTAACCGGTGCTTCACTCGGGCAAGCAGCGCTGTATTAGCAGTAGGTATCTTGATGGGCTACGAGCATGTAGCAGGGAACTAACATTTGTGTTCTGCTCAAGAGACATTAGGAGTGAACGCTGGCTCTTTCAAGAGAGAGCCTGCCAAGCCAACAAGTGACCCACAAGGGGCCTTTGAGTGTACAGGCTCATACATGCTCTTGAAGCCAAAATGACTTGAATCTTTTCCTCATCTTTTGGATTGCAATGGGGTGGGGGCATTAAATATCCTGACCTCATGAGATGTGAAACAGTTTTAAACTCAGATCTTTCATGTTTTCTTACAGCCCAAAATACAGTAAGTGTATTGTTTTATAGCATGCATGAGCTTAAGGGAGGTATGCTAACGATACACTCAAAATGCAAATGCAAATTTTGTCCTATGTAGAATCCAGAGGGGCATTGCTGGCAGATGATGGCATATATTGGGTTAGAAGAGGACCATGTGAAGGCACCTCTAATCTTATGGGTGCACTTGTTGGGTCCTGTGATGGTACTGTTGGTGTAGATGTGGGGACAAAGTAGACATCTGTGTTTGTTGCAAGGTCTGGTTCCCATGTTAGCATAAGTGTCCTTTCGTTTCTTGTTGCTTGTGAGAATCTGCTTCAGATTGGGAGGTGGTCTTTATGCAAATATGGGGCTGCCACCCAGGCAAACTTTGTGCAAAAGAAGCAATGCACCTAAATTTTACATCAGGATTCAGAACAAGGACAAAGTAGTATCAGAGCATTTCAACCTCCCAGGATATTCTATAACAAACAACAAAGTGATTGTTTTTGGAAAACAGAACTTACTTCAACACTGAGCAAGAGGCTGCTGAACTCATACATCAAAAAGTTTCAGATAATCTCAGAAGGTCTCAACAAACCCAAGGGTTTTTTTTTAACACATTGTTACTTGATAAGGTATTGATAATCTGTCTTACATGTAACCTGCATCTGTGTAACCAACCTGTCTTCCCCTCCCTTTTTCCCTGCCTCACCCCAATTTAAATTCTACATCAGTCTAGCCCAGTGTTTCTCAACCTTGGCCACTTGAAGATGTGTGAACTTCAACTCCCAGAATTCCCCAGCCAGCATCTTCAAGTGGCTGTGGTTGAGAAACACTGGGCTAGCCACTCTGTGCATCTGAGAATTAGGCTGCAACTCATGAACGTTTATGCCTTTTAATAGAATTTGTTAGTCAGAAAAGGTGTTACCAGACTCCTTCCGATTGTTTGCCCTCTGGCTTCTGAAATTCTCACAAAGGAAGGAGGATGGTCCCATTCCTTTGCAGGCAGAGCATTAGAGAGAACACAGCTCTTGGTAAAAAAAGGGTAACATCCCCAAACAGGCCTGAATGAAAGAAGTATGGATAAAGAAGTGCAGCTGGTGTTACACTGGTCTGTTACATTTCGTGAGAAGGATTTTGTTGAAAGTAAGCACTGTATGCCATAAGGCTCCTCAACTTTGGAGGGCTTGTTGCTATATTTGGAACTGAGTGATGGGAGTTTTCTTTCTGTCACAGGGCCAGGTGGATTTGGCTATGTCGAAGCCGCAAGGTAGGTGACATGCTTCTTTTTGAGCTTTTGCTAAATCTGCTAGTTGAAGGGGAAATAATGTGTCAAGGTCAAGCATGTCTCCTTTCAGTGGTCATGAAGAAAATAAAATTTTTTTTTTAAAAACTGCACTTGGATTTTTTCCTGAAAGTGAGTCTATCTCCCTCATTTCCCCCCCCCTTCTCTCTTCTCCTCCTTTTGCTTTTCCTGTGTCTTTAACCTGGGTGCAAGAGTATAGAGATTTCTGAATTCTCCAGGAATCCCTGAATTCGTACTTGTTCAGTCCTCCTTCAAGGTTTCTATGAATGTTCTCTCCCTTCTCATCCATCTACAACATCTAAGGTGATGTCTTCTTCTTGAATCCCCTCCTCTCTCCTTTGAGTCAGTGTCCTTCAGGGGAGTTGGACCAGAACTCCAATCACTGTACATGCTGGCAAGGATGATAGGAATTGCAATCCAACCCACATGGAGGGCATCTATTTGGGGAAGGCTGCTTTTGGTATTTCTCCTCCTGACTTTACAAACTATCTTTTTAGTCTCCACTGTCATTTCTACAGTGAAGACATTCTGGACGTGTTTCACCTAGCTAGGTTTTCTGATGCTTTCCATTCTGTTCTCTTTCAAAAGTCTTTTCTTGCTCCTACTCTCTGATAGTTCATCTTTCTGATCATGCCCCCTTTTTTTCTCTTTTGATACTCAGCCCAGCCATATAGTCAAACACCCAAATTCTCCATTGCCCCCTTTGGATCCACTGTCACTTGATTTCTTAATGCCTTCTCCTCTGTTGGGAGTTACCAATCCACACTCACTAGAAAAGGATGCTCACTGCCACTTAGAGATGAAGTGGAGCCAAGACCCTGGTTTTGCATGACAAGGTTCATCCTCAGCATACTTGAGCAATAATAACAAAGAGAACCTATTGTTGCTATAGAAGTGCCAAAGCAAAAGATTTCCATGTAGTGTCCGGGATTAATTCTCCAAAGTAGACATGGGGATAAAGCTCAGCATTTTTAGTTTTCAGAATTAAGGCTTGCTACTAATAACAGGCCTGCTTATAAAAGAACCACAGGGGTGCTTAAATGTTTGTGAACCCTTTTGAATTTTCAGTATTTCTGCATAAATAAATAAAACGTGATCTGTTTGCCACACAAGTCCTAAAACTAGATAAAGAGAACCCAGTTAAACAAATGAGTCAAAAACATTGTACCTGTTCATTTATTTATTGAGGAAAAGGATCCAATATTTGGGTGTACCCCAAACATTTGGGATATTTGGGTGTGGCAAAATTATGTGAATATTTGTCTCTCTCGTTGCAATCCCAGAATCCCAGTTGACACTGAAAAATGATCTGGAGCTCATCAGAGCTCAGCTCCATGCCCAAACCAAGGTATGTATGGTGGCAGCTGGCATAAACCTGGAAATCTGCTTGTGATTTCAGTATCACAATCTATGTTAATCCTATCTGTGCCACATTTTTTCCCCAGGCTTTTCAAGCACTGAGCCACTCAATTACTCTGTTAGAGCAAGAGAGCAACCACCAGCAGGGCAGGATCAATGAATTGGAAGGTATGAAATATGAATACTGTCCTACTTGTTTATGGCCCTGCAAACCCCATGATAGCAGGAGATATCCAGTTCTAAACTAGAAATCATTTAAGTCTTCGCAAGGGGAGAGGATGATCCCTGGAGCACTAAACTTTTAGGAATTCTTGTATGCAAAGTTCCACAGAGAGCCTGGTTTCTTATTCATTTCTGGCTCCAGTGGTTATGAAAAATACAGAAGCAAGATAGAGAGGTTATACAATCCCTACCCCTAAGCAACCTTCAGAAGCAGAATTGAAAACATTTTCTAGCATCTTCAGTGTAACTCAGTCTGGAAGAATTGCAAGGGTGTTTTATCTTAGAATCCCAAGTCTGCCCTGAGTGACATTTCAAGAATTGTATAGGAGCATCTTCATAGAATTAGGACTGGTAAATCAAGAATGTGCAGAATATCATCCCTACTCTCTCCATTACCAAAAGATGAATCAACCTTTTGTATCTTCCATCCTTTCCAGAGGAAGTAGAATTTGCTGCCCGCTTATCCCATGGGGAGATGTTTGATGGGCTAATACAGAAAAAAATCCAAGAACTTTGGAGATCCATGACCACAGAGGTAGAAGGGCTTCAGGGTTCCATGATCCAGAAGCAAAGTTCAGTGGAGAATCTGGCTCAAGATGTCCTTGAGAGGTAGGAGAAAAGGCTGAGTGGGCAGAAAAAGAAATGAGCTCTTTCTTGTAGATATTGGATAGGTAGAAAAATGGCCAGGATAGGCTGGGCCTCCACAGTTTTTACTATAAATCTCTTTCCACTGCTCTTGTAATTGAAAAAGTCTTGGGTGATAGACTGGTGGGAGGAGCTTGGATGGCCAAAGGCTAGAGGGCAATAACAGTGGTTTTATGCTCTTGCTTAATAATAAATCATCTTAGGGGTTGAATTTCCAGGGCTATATTGTAAAGCTGCCCTGTGCTTTCTCTTCTTCCCCTGGCAGCAAAAAATTCCTTTGGGAAGAGTTGGAATCAGTTCAGGGTGAACTGCGGCACATCCAACAGAAACTAAGTAAGTAGTTACTAGTGATATTTTCTTGTAACATTTTGTTCATATCCACTTCCAATATGCAGCAGATCCTTTTCTGGCAGTATTTTCCCACCATACATTGCCATTACCATACATTCAGTATTGCCACAGCTCTCCAAATCTTCTGGATTCTTCTCTGCAATAGACTCTCAACCATCATCCCATCAGCCAATTTGGTGGCAAATATCAACTTCCTTTGTAAAAAGACAATGTCTCCTTCAGATTGACAACTCCTGGTGACATCAGGATTCCAGATGCCCAATCTAGCCTATAGCTCAAGGATTCCCTGGAAGACTCCCACCTAAATCCTGAGCAAGTTCAAACCTGATTAGCTTTTGAGTCAAGATTAGTCTCCTGAGACTTGATCACCTGATTTAACTCTCAGAGAAGCAGAGAGAAAGGGGGGGGTGTCTCCCCACTTGACTAGGATTGAGCAAATTCCATATGCATCCATGCCATTGTCATCATTTAGCCCAACTCTTCTTCCTCCTGCTGAAAAATTTGTACACCAATGCTTCCCCTGGGAATTTTCTTTTCAATATTTGAGAAAAAAGATTCTGCAGCCTTCCAAAGCAGCTGGCTCTATGGCTGAATTGCTTTTATTAATCAGGAAGATTTTCCTTATACAGTACTTTAATGCTATTTAATTTCATGCTATTTTCCTTTTAATTTAATAGGTATCTTACCCCTGACTAGGCATATGAGATCTGAAAAAATCAGACGATTTGGTCATTTCCCCACAAGAGACTTATAGCAACTTCTGGAATCATCCAATAATTCAACCATCATTGTGCCAAAATAACAGTAATGGCAATAGACTTTATATCACCTTAACAATGGCTGGATAATGCTATGAAAGTGCAATAAATTACTTACGGCCTCTCAGGTACTCTAGCAAAGAAGGAAACTATGTTGGAGTTGTCATGACTTGGACTATCCAAATCCATACTGGCTTACAACTTCCTGTTGTTTTTCTATAGTGTACACATGTTAAGTATCAGATACATTTCTCTCTGTTCTCCTTTTTGATGGTAAATATGCCACTTGTTATTGTTACTGCTGCTCTGTCTGCTAGGGGAGCTGTGACTAATGACATGTGTATTGTCCACTGAAGACAAGGACTTAGAGCAAATATTTTCAGCAGAGCCAGAGGCTCCCAGAGGAAGCCACGTGTGCCTGGTGCTTCACAGAAGTGAGAAGAGGGAGTTTAAATGGTGATGATGGGAGTGATCCTGATTGGGTGTGCTTGGCTCTTATCTTAGAGGACCAGGAGGTTGATATCACTAGAAACCTTGTCAGCATTAAGAAAATGCAAGAGAATCAAATGAAGTGCACCAAGGTAAGTTCCTCCACTTGGCTTCACTCTTGAGTTGGAATCCTCCTGGGAAGAGCTGATGTTAGCAAATCCTTCTCTAGGAGCCACTGTTAAATTGCACATGCTCTTATCAGTTAAAAAAAACTCAGCTCATTTCACTGTAAAATGAAAATTAATCTCTCTCACCCACTTGCCCATAGGGTGGTTTTGGGGCAGAGTAGATAAGGTATTTTATTTTATTTTAGAAAATTTCTACCCTGCTTTTTGCCCCACAAAAAAGCCTCCAAGGTGTGATTCATCAGAAACACTAGGAACAGGAGGCAGAAAGAAAGAAGAGCTTGGCAGAGTCAGGGGTGCATAGTTTTCCTTCTGCCAATCCCACCTCCTGAATTCTGTCAGCCATTGTGGGGGCAAACAGTGTGGGGAGTGATGGGCACAGTGAGGGAATGGCATGTAATGCCAGAAAAGTAGGACAAGGAAGAAAACAGAACCTGCCTAAGAGAGGGGGTGTTGGCATTGCCAGCACTGTGCATGTAGGTGTACATAAAATAGCCAAGATTTCTAATATGGGGAAGATACTGGGGAGAACCAGAGAGCCAGTTTGGTGCAGTAGTTAAGACATCAGGCTAGAAACTGGGAGACTGTGAGTTCTAGTCTTGCCTTGGGCACCAAACCAACTGGGTGACCTTGGGCCAGTCACCCTCTCTCAGCCCCAGGAAGTAGGCAATGGCAAATCACTTTTGAAATCTTGCCAAGAAAACAGGGACTAGTCCAGGCAGTCGCCAGGAGTCAAAAACTGCTTCAAACAAACAAACAAATAAATATAAGAACTATAGTTTTTATATCCTACCAGTGGACTTTTTAAGAACATAGCTACTGTAGAAAATGGCTTCTGATGTAGGTGGGCTCTAGCTCTGTTTCAGCAGGGTTTTCTAGTGTTAAGATGGGCAGAGTTATAAGCTTTAATTATATGATCTTAAGAAGCTCAGAAATCATCAACGAATGTAATTAAATTAAATTACTATATGTAATTATAATTGAATGACACTAAAGCAGAATTCATCACTTTCCCTGCTCCATTTCTGCTCCTGCGCTTGATCATAAGGAGACCTCTTGGCTGGAGAATTAATATCTGTTGTTCAGTGCACGGGATCAGTTGTAGCTGTGGCGGACAACCTCGGCTGTCTTTCTGGAAGTTGGTGGTCTTCAGCCTCCCACTTCATTCCATCCACATCCCCCATCCATGTGGCCACAATCTTTTTGGAAAGCAGGACAGTGGCAACCTTTTAATAGAGGATGGATTTGGGCAAATAAACCTGCTTCATGGGAACTGAGTAGAAGAGCAGTAATGCATTTTTAGTGATCTTGAGCCTGTGTTAGCCCACAATGGTGGAGGTCTGATCACACAAACTCCCTGTGTCCTGCTGTGTAGTCAGTGTGTGACTATCCAAGCCATGAATTTGTGCTGATACAGGTACTGTTTTAGCAGTTCACCCGGAGGTTTGTAGCAGAGTGTTCCCTCCTGGATATCCACCACAGGCTGTTTTGCATCCCAATGTATTTATTTGACACTTGACCTTTCTCTAGTTCCTGTGCCAACTGAGGGGCAAAATCCCAGAGGATGCCTTAGAAGCAGTGGATAATAAAGCAGGGACTGAAGAGCTGAATGAAATCTGGTAAGAACTGCTCCTTGGGAGTTCTGGATGGGAAAGCCTTGTCAACTCTCTTCCTGCCTCAAGCACTAGAAGGAAGTTCTTGAATTTGACATCTTTCTCTTTGGTGGACTTTGGTGTCTGGCATCTTCTTTCATTTTATGAGACACAGGAATAGGCATTTCTGGGGCTTGAATTTTCTCCACTAGGAAGATCAACCATATATATATATTTAGTAGTCGTATACTTCATTGATTAGTCAGTTGACCATATCAAAGCATAGGCATCAGCCAGAGTAAGATATAATAAAATGGAATAAAGTGAGGTACAATAAAATAGATAAAATAGAGTGCAGAGATATATAATAAAATGAATATTAAAATTTGAAAGCAGTATGTGTTTAGGTGAATTCATCACCTTTGTATGCAAGCCCAATGTGTTCTATAAAACGTGTTCTCTGTTGGACAGCCCTGACTATAAATTTAACAATTCTAGTGACTACATATTTGTTTGTGCCCTGAAGGAAATAAGATAATCTTTAACAAATATATGTCCCAATATATGGTTCTGTCAAGGAGTGTCTGTAAGTACTGAGCCCTTACCGAGGCATATAATTGACAGTTGAACAGGACATATGCAATGTCTTCTATTTCTGATGCTTCACAAATACATATTCTCTCAGAATATGGCACTTGATGGAATTGTCCATATCTGACCATAGAATCTAACTGCTTGAATCTTGCTCGGGTAAGAGCTCTCCTATGATATTGAGTCAAACCCATTGTCAAGTATTTTTGTGTTTGGAAGGACATTTTATTTTTATCCAGCCATTTCAATGACCTGATGTTTGCATGTGACTCAATATTGGTTTGGGGATTAACATCCAGAACTCTTTGTTTGAATATTGCTTTGGCCTGATGTCCGGCTGAGAATAGATATTGTGTTGAGAAGCTGAGATGTGAGATGATTTGAAGAAGTTGATTGATCCATGTGGTGGGTTGAAGTGTGGCCATCTGTTCTTCAAGCCACATTCTGTCAGGTTCCATTGAGAGGATCCTCCACCAGTAATTAAAGACTTCAATTACTGTTAGACTATAAATGGAATGGGTGCCAGTTTCAGCTCTTATTGCTGCTGCAGGTGTATTCCTGTCGGTCCCTGAAACAGTTCTTAAAAAGCTTGCTTGATTTTGTTTAAATAAGGAGGTCTTTGATAGGCTCCACAAATCTGTGCCATATGTTAGCATTGGTACAATTTTCACCTTGTGGACCTTTAGAATGAGAAGCAGAGAGCTTGGGTGGCTGTAACTAAGTAATTTAGTTAGCTTTTTGGAGCTTGTTGTTGCCTTTATAGAACTTGGTTTGAAGTGGTTGGCCCAAGACTCTGTATCCGTAAAAACCAACCCTAAATATGAGAAAAAATCTATTTGTTTTATAGGCTCTCCATCCAAGTGCCAATTGTATTGGGGCCATCTTAGGTCAGTGATAGAAGGCTGTTCCTTATCTTTCCTATAAGTAGATAGATTCAAACGTGAGTCTAAGAAAATGCCTGTATTCCAGACCAATCTTTATCACCTCTGGAAATAAAAGGATAGCATATTTGAATCCATTATAAATAAAAAAGAAGAGAAAAAGAAAAAAAGAAATCTGGATAGTTGCTCCTACATTACAAAGTACTAGTTTTGGATCTGTGGAAGAAGTTGTAAAGTGACAAGCTGCCCCACGTCTGAAGGATCAACCAGGGTGGTGGTTTTAGAGCCCAGAACTATACTTTCAGCCTGCATAATTAACTTTGTATATTGTCAAAGGATACAAGGAGATGTTCTTCTTGTCTGTTTATCTCAGCAGCAGGTGATCCACAAAGGAAATCATAGCAGTTCCTTTGACTTTCTTCCTATACAGGTCAGCTGTCAACACTTTACGCAACTCCATTGTCAACAACAGCATCCGGAGTGACAAGAGAAATTCTTCAAGAATGAAAGGTGAGTAGGCCTAGTTGTTCCATCTCTGAACATGGAAAACCCAGGCTGTGCTTGCTTCAGTGGACACCATCCTTCAGGGTTCAAAATAATCTTCAGTGTGTTTTCCCAAGCCTATACTCCCAATAAATGTTGAACTACAAGTGCCAAAGCCCCAAATAACTGGAAATTATAGACGGCCCAATATATTTGGAGTGTGGTATTTATATATTTGGGGGGGGGTGTACTAACTAGGGAAAAACAAATATGCAACATTCCTTTTAAATATTCCTCTGGGGTGAATCTGTCAGCCCTTCGGAGTAGTCCAGACAGGAAACCAGTTGCTAAGACTTACAGTAACAGAATCTTGCAAATCTGAAAGCACTTCCCCCTTCCCCTGCCTTTACTTTCCAGAGAACTGGGGAGGGTCCCTTCTGAGATGCTTTGTCTGTCCCCATCCCTCCTTTGGACTCAGATTTCATTTATCAGACTCTGATCGAGGCTGCGGCTCTTCCCTGTGTCTCCCAAGGTTATTCTCACAGCCCACTAGTGGCAAAATACTCATCTGCAATCAGTGGCAAGACTTGCTGGATCTCAGTAGAGCTCAGTGGGACAAAATGGGGGACTGTGTTTCCTAATTTGTCTGCCTCCTCAGGAGACCTTTCTAAAAGCAGGAGGCAACTGAGGATAAATAAAGGGTAAGATGGCTCCACCCCTCCAGAAGTCTCTCTCTGGGATCTTTTTACAGATCGAGGGAGCCGACATCACCGAAAAACTAACTCACCTGGCTCCAATTTCTCTGATTCTGCCCTCTATCAGCACCGCCGCAGCAGCTCAGAGCACAGTTCCTAGAAGGGCAGGGTGAGTCCCCTTTTTTCTGTCTTGCATGGCTACCCTCCCAGCATGGATTGTGTAGAAGAGGGCAGAGAATTTTTTTGTAGGGCAGGACCCCCCTTTTTCACCCTCTCTGGGTCGAAAGACACACAGGGAAGATGTGGCACTGTCAGTAGAAAGAGCAAGGCAGTAATTTTTGTCCATTTGGGATTTTGGGAAGGGTGGGTAAAGATAAATAGTAATGTTAAGGCTAGCAGTTGAAAGAAAAGGTAGCACTGCCAAATGTCTTCATTTTGCTCCTGAATTTTGACAGCATAGTGTCTGGTTCTCCTGGAGACCACAACAATGGAGCAAGCCATTCTTCATTTGGTTTGTAACTGCCCATCTCTGGTAGAGAAGCAAACAACCCCATTCCCATCCATATATCTATCTGGATACCAGGCAAGCTAATGGTTTCCTTCTTAGGTATGGAACGAGAGTCAAGATACTAGAAAGAAGCTGGGCCATCTTTGAAGCTGAATTATTGACAATGCAGATGAAATTAAACCAAACTGCTTGGAAGAGACTTGGTTTGGTCATCATTGAGGTAGAAAGCTGCCTTAGATTAAGTCAGACTGTTGGTCTATCTAGATTAGTATTACCTACTTGAAATAACTGCAGTGGATCTTCAGGGTTTCAGACCAGAAATTTTCCTGGTTTCACCTGGAGATATTACCAGGGATGGAAATAGAAACCTACTTGCAAAAACATGAATTTCTGTCTGCTTCGGTGCTACGGATCTTTTATGGCCTCTGATGAGGGGAGGTTTGACTAGCCAGTAACCTATGATTGCAACTTCTCACCTGTGGCTGACCTATGCCTATGACCATCTATGCCTTCTTTGTCCATTAGACATTGCTTCCTCTGTTCAGGCATGTTGTGAACTTTAGGCCTGAATGATCAAGCACCTCACTGAAGTTCCAGAAAGAGAAACAAAACTACTAATAATCAAGTAATCTTTTCTTCTAAGACACCTCTGCATGGTATGGACTTAGCAATCCACTCTGTCATTTCAAAATTTTACATTCTAAGACTAGGAATTGGAAAAATTAATTCTTTGCCAGTCTGTGAGGTGTCCTGCAGCAGATTACCTTGTTCTTAGAAGACCTTTTGAGTGGTCCTTTCCTGTTGGAAGATGCCCCCTCCCCCACCCACTTATTCCACCACTGCCATCTCCAAAACTAATGGCCTTTGTTGGCGTTCTGATGCCCACATTTAGGGCACAAGACCCAGGATCGCCTTCTTCCTTCCATGGGCTATAGAGACATTACTTTCTTGCTACTTTCCTGGTCTGAAGTGCTGGAAAATTACTGGGGATCAATTCCTGTTTTTTGGCACCCAGGACACTCCCAGTCAATCCCTATCTGCAGGTCAGAGGAAGCAAACCTTCCATTCAATTCAGCTAACCCCGCCCAAAAAAGTTTGTTTATTAAACATCAGCAAACATAAATAACAATTAACTGGCAAAAACAGGATAAAAAGTAGACAGAAGCAGGCAGAGAAAGTCATGTTCATTATCTATCATGATATCAAAGGACACAGAACTTTCCAGAGCCATTAGGAACAACACTGTGGGAAATGAGTATGGGCAATCCCAAAGGGAGTGGCTTTTGGATATTCCAGCTGTAACCCTTTTATATATATAGCAGTAGCAGAATAGCGATGGAGAGTAGAACATGAATGACACCTCCGCCCTCTATTTTGTACCATGAAGGAAATAATTTGATGGATGGGGAGGATATATCCAACACCAACTATATGGACAAGGCAATAAAATTTTATTTTTCAGGGTTTTTTTAATTAATGAGAAATTGAGAATGAGAAAAGGCCATAGAAAACCTTTTAAAATGACAAGTCTTTTAAAAAGTTTTTTTTAATTTAAATTAACAACATACATTAATATTCATTCATGGTTTTCATATTTCACAAGTTTCATAAACATTATAGTTATTAATTTATAATATATGTGTATACATATATACACACACACACACACACATATATATACACACACACACACACACACATATATGTTTGTGTGTGTGTGTGTGTGTATAAACTTTCCAAATTATCCCTCTGTGAGCTTAATATTTGAATTCTATCCATAACTTTTTCAAAAGGACCATACTTTAGTACATCATTTTTCAATTGTTAAATTCATTAGGAACTTCCTACTTCCAGGAGTTCCTAACTGCCAAAAATAAAAATATAATAACTTATACTATTATAAATAATTTAGCATTAACTCCTTTGAAAAGAGTAGAAAATGCATTCTACTCTTTGTTTAATTATAATTCTTATTTCCTTGAATATTTTCTTCCAGAAGGGCATAATTTTTTCACATGCTCACCACATACAAAAAATGTTGCCATCTGTTTTGACAACCCTTCTAAGAGTTTGTTAAGTGGTTGTGAAATATTTGCACTAATTTTATTGGAGTTGTGCCAAATATATACTGTCTTCCACTTCAACTCTTGTATAGAAACTAGTAGACAGACACCTGATTTCTAATTTGTACTGTATCTTCCACTTGTTTCCAAGTTTCTTTTAAATTTACAGGGTGGTAGCATAATTCTTTTTCCAGTAATAATATATATATCTTTGAGACCATTCCTTTAGGTTGGGAGAGATAATTATTAATTTTTCAAAATTTGTTAAACCAGAAGATATGAATCTCTTATATCTTTATTCAAAAAAGATTTGACCTGGAGCCAAGTGGGCTAAGACAATTGACAATCTCTTTGTGACAACCAATCTCTTCATTTTTGTCCTTCTGTATATTGATTATAAAATCCAGGGTATGTCAGTAAAGGTGTTAGAGAGAAAATAGTCTCTATCATATCACTTTCCCCAAACCTAAAACATAGTTTTTGTGAACATATTATTTACAGGTAGTCCTCACTTAACAACCACAATAGGGATTGGAAAATTGGTCGTTAAGTGGGTCACCATGTGATCGGACCCGATTTTACAATCATTTTTATGACAGTTGTTAAGCAAATCACTGCAGCCATTAAGTGAATCACATGGTTGTTAAGCGAATCACATGGTCATTAAGCAAATCCAGCTTCCCCAATGGACATTTTTTTCATGTGATTAATGACCATGTGATTCACTTAGTGACCACATGATTCACTTAGTGACCATCATAAAAGAGGTCGCAAATCTCGATCACGTGACCGCGTGGAGGTGGTGCGATGGTTTGCAATGGTTGTAAGTGCAAGTACAGGTCATAAAGCACTTTTTCCAAGGCCATCATAACTTCAAACCATTGTTAAATGGTCATTAAGCAAGGACTACCTATATATTACCTGTTTTTATAAAATCCTCTGGAAGAAGAAACATTTGTTGTTTAGATCTATCTTTTGTACAGTTTCTATCTGTATCCACTGACTTGTTGAATCTTCCCATATAAATGGAAGAATATGTCTCACGTGTTATTTGATAATGTAATTTTTGAAATGAACCTCCCATCCTGCCTGTTTCTGAGTCTTATAAAGAATCTTTCTATTAACCCTTGATTTTTTAGTATTAAAATAAAAACTTTCCATTTTTCTGTGCCATTACATTAATGTTATCTGCCACTTCAAGTTGAAGCATTTGTTTAGAAACCTTAGTAGTAACACTTCACAGTAATAAGGACATTAAAGGGATAAAAATAGGAGATAAACTCTATTTACTGGATTTATTTGCAGATGATATACTATTAACTTTTTCTCAAGTTCTAGTTATTCAGCAAAATATATTAGAATGGAATTAGAAGAATATCAGGCCTAACAGTGAGTTTTCAAAAGGCACAATTTATGTTTTTCCATACTCCTCCAAAAATACAGAAATTGGTATCTAATATTTTAAATATAACTTTGTTCCAGTTTTGAAGAAAAATTTAAAAAAGGAAATGAAAAATTTGGAATGAGAAATATTTAAATATATTGGGTTGAACAGTTAAAATGACTCTTTCAAAATACTTTTTTTTTTAAATTTAAAATGTAAAATACTTCAAAATTGAGACTTGTGCCTGAAAACAGAGTCTGTGCTTAGCTGGAATATTCATAGTGAACAAGAATTATGCATTTCCATTCTTGGTGGAAAACAACAGAAGGCCAGTTTAGCAAGGAGGAAGGCTAAACCCTTTCACATAATCTAGTTTATTTTACAGGGTGCTGCTTAACAATGCAATGCCAGTGAGGCACGTAGCTACAATGTACCTGAATGGCTGTGAATATATACTGATCTGTGGTGGTGGTAGTGGTGGCTTTTTGGAGGAGAAGGCTTCCTAACCTTGATTATGTCCAGGTACGTTGCTGAATCATGCCTTTCTCTCTTTATACACAGAACCCTATTCTCACCTGGAATGGCACTACTGTATGAATTTTAGAGCAGGTTCATTTTTGCTGTGTATTTTGGGGATCAGTAGCATCCTCTGCTTCTTAAAACCCCAGCCCTGGCCTCTTCAAGGGGAACTGTTGTTTCTCCTCAGATTTCACACTAACCAAAGCTTTTCTCATATCTAGCTCCAGCCATGTTTTGCTGTGATCTTGAAACTGCCACTGGAGCAAACTTCGTATGCTTGCATTCGTGCAAGTACACCCATAACAAGAGCATTTTCCTGGGTTTTTTTTTTACTACCCTGAAATTTCCCAGCACACACTCACTTGACTCATTCCACCACCAAAGGATAAGCTCTAAGCACTGTTGAGCTGCAAAGTGGAATCTGTGTCCCCAAGCGCTCCTCGGAACATTACTTTAACCTTTATGTTATTTCTGCTTCAAAGAGGTTTTCTGCTCTATTTGAAGCCTAGTTTGATTCTTCTGCTTTGTCATTTTTCACACTTCCATAATCTCTCCTCTCCTTTGATTATGTTTCCAAATGTGGTAGTCATAGATACTAGGTAGCTAGCCTAGTATCTTAACCACTACACCAAACTGTCTCTCTGAAAATGAGATTAGTTCATCAGAATTCTTTTTGAGGTTTATTG